GCTCCCTCCCGCCAGTCCGTGGAGCGCGCACCGCCTCGCCGCCCTTCCTACCCTCTTCCGTGGGCCTCTCGTCTGCGCTTGGCTCCAGCGACTCCGTTCTGCTAATCCTCTGGTGGTTTTCTGGGTTATTTAGGCAGGTGTAGGTGGAATCTAAGTGATCAGCAGGACGCGCGGTGAGCCCAGCGTCCTCCTACGCCGCCATCTTCCGCTGTCTCCCATTATTAAGCTTCTAAGAATGGAGGCAGCTGGGAATTTAGTGTTGAATTAGAATAGGAAATTCCAAAATTGACACTCAGTTACTTTGCTATAGTTTTGGGCACAATACCACCTACTGGTTTGTTTTGGAATGAAGTGGATTTCTCTGTACTTGACAAGGGCTGTGAAGGAAGGGCTTACAATAGAAGACTCTAGAATTTAGTCATGTGCTATATAAACATGGTACGTATATACTGACATTTAAAATAATTGTCATCAACTGCTACTAATTTCTATGTGTATAAAGCCCATATTTCAACCAAAATTAATACAGAAACTAACAGATATGTAGAAAAACAGTAAAAAAATATTTCAAGTGGTATAATACTAGAAAGGACTTCATGATTAAAATACATGTATTTGTCTAGGGCCAGAAACTGAAATGTATTCACTAAAATTTATTTAGTTTTTTGATATAGACAGATGCCTATGAAAAGAAATATTCATGTTAATATATATGAATTTTTTAAATTCATTCACTCAACTAATATTTATCTGTCCAATATGATAGATTAATATGTATTGTTGAAGGGACAGAAAGAAACCTATCTTTGGCCTTATGGAGCTAACTTTGGTACACAAAAAGGCTTTAAACAAATAAATACACTGTTAAATACATTACTACAGATCTGGATAATTGCTATAAATAAGATTTCAGAGATTCTGTGATAGGGTAATAAGATAGTTGGCTTTAAAGAGATCTCTGGAATGTGAAAAAGCAGTGTAAAGAACAAGAATTACTTTAAAGTTCCTCTATTTCCTAGGCAATGTATTTTTCATTTCCATCAGATCTGTAGGGCTACCTATAGAATCACTCATTAACTCTTCTATTAATTTTTTTCTTTGGCTATGTTATCTCTGGAATCATTCTTTTTTCTACTTTCCCTAAGATGTTAGTGCAGGCATTCTTTTTCTTTTTCCTTAAAAAAAAATTTTTTTTTTGATAGAGACAGAGTGCAAGTTGGCGGGGGGTGGGGGGGGGTGAACAGAGAGAGAGGGAGGCACAGAATCCAAAGCAGGCTCCAGGCTCTGAGCTGTCAGCACAGAGCCTGACGGGGGGCTTGAACTCATGAACTGTGAGATCATGATCTGAGCTGAAGTCTGACGCTAAGCCAACTGAGTCACCCAAGTGCCCCTAGTATAAGCTTTCTGAGTTTATAACATTAGCTACTAATTTTTACTTTGGGTAATTTTCTTTATGTATATGTTTGAGCTAGGCCTGAGTGACAGTTTCATGCTCACTGTGTACTTGTTTCTAATGTAAACTGAAGTTAGAAAAACAATGGTGCTCTTTTCTTTCATTCTGGGTCTTTGCTCTGTTCAACAAGAAGAGCACTGAGGAGGTTAAGATGTGTGAACCTGTCTGCTTGGTGTTTCTTATCCTATCCACCCTGTTTCTTTTGTGAAACTCTTGTCAATGTGCATAAAGTGAGGATTAACCCTCTTATTTCTTAGAGCAAATCCTTGCAAACTGTACTGTGTATACAGATCACCTGGAAATTTTAAAATGCTGGTTCTGATTCATTGGGTCTAGTGGCTAGTCTCAATGCTCTGCACTTTTTCAGTGCCCTTGGATGATGCTGTTGGTGCTGGTCCATGGATTAATTTGAGTAGAAATGTTGTAAAGGACACTGTAATCCTCTAACCACTACTCACGCAACTATTTGAAACATTTAATTTTTCTTTGAAGCATCAAGTATGCAGTATAAAGTTGAAAGATATTTATGAATGTGTCTACAAATGCAGCAGTGTTATAAACTACCATCTTGTAATGACTCTGGTAGATGGTTTATCTTGGTGTCATTATTCACTACTACTACTGACCCATGACTCCCTTACTTTGATTTTCTAATCTCTTAGCTCCACGTCTTTGTCCTTATCTTGATCAGTTGCTGCCATCTTTGGAAGGCCCTTCTGGAGGAGACCTTTAGAAGAGAAAATTTTACTCTTCTAGAATTTCACCCAATGATGAATTCATTTTGCTTATATTAATCTCTCACTTTCAGCCTTTGGCTCATGAAATCGGGTCTGCCTCTTGTCTATACTGCTTTACATATGGCCAGGCAAATAGTGGTTTTCATTACTCGACTGTTGGATGGATGAGTGGGAGGAGGGATAAGTGGATGAATAAATAATTCCAACTGAATGTTGACCTTTTTCTCCATATAACTACTAGCTTCACAACTTAGATAGAAGGTATTAATGAAAAAAGAAATTAATACAAAATTTATTTAAGTAAAATTTAATAAAGTACTAACAAGCCCTATATCAAGTAAGATCAGGGTCCTAATTTTGTATCTGCCATTTACTGGCTGTGTCACCTTGGGCAAGGTGCTTGATTTTTCTGAGCCTCAGTTTTATCTTCTATAAACTGGGAAGAGCAATATCTATTGGATAGGATTGTTGAGTTTTGAAATAATATATATGAAGATTATAGCCTAGGACTCCTAGTATATATAATAGTTACTGTCAAACTTGGATCTCAAGCAAAGATTATTGATAACTAATATATATTTTTTCTAGTTAATTCATTTTTATTTTATTTTTGGTATTTTGTTACTAATGATAACTTGCTTCAAATAACCGTAAAAAAGGTACTAAACTTAAGGCTTTTCTTATATGTCTTTATAACATGGCATGAAGGATAGCATCTCAGCTGTTGATTAACTTCTAGATCAGAATCTTTCACATCCTTATACAAGGCAAATTGTAATAAACTGATGTTGTAATGGTACATGCACTACTAAAAGTTAGATTCTGTTTCATTTAAGCTGGTAATTACTCAGATTCAGTCTCTTTGCAGCTGATTTTTCAAATGATATTATTTAAAGAGATTTAAAATTGTGTCACTGAGCAGATGTTCTGCCAAAAGCAAAACCAAGAGTCATGACTTTCATTATTTTTGTAATTACAGTTTACATAGATGACTGACACTCCTTATGTTGAACTGGAGAATAATTGAGAGTGAAATCTCTAAAATTATACAGCTATTTTAGGTCATTTTATGTACCATGATCTATCAAGGATTTAGGGACCTATAGATGATTATTAAGTAGAAAACTGATTTGTTATCTTGTATTAAAATATAATGAATGAGTCAAAGGTTCTATAGGTAGAACAGTTTTTTCAAGTTATAAGAGTTTGAAAATATTAGTATCTGAAATATCTTCATATTACTCACTATTAAGGAAAGAAACTGTGAATGCTATTAGTACATTTTAGTTTTGCCGCAGGGCAATTTATTCCTTCATTTATTTCAGAAGCATTTAGTGAGCATCCACTATGCTTCAGTTGCTCTTTTTCAGGCTGACCATGAAGTGGTGAATGCCTAGGAGTATTAATTTTATATTGACCTTAATATTTGGGGCATAAAGCAGTTTTATTTGATTATTGCCATGCATAGATCAATACATGATTAATATAAAAATTTATTTTGATCTCATGTTTGGCAAAACCTAGGGTAGAACAGATAATAAATTGCTACATCATAAGGAAATTTTTAAATCTTCAATAAAAGGGAGGAGGAAATATTATTGAAATGCCTCATATTCAAAAGTGGATACCATTAACAAGGACACTGGAGCAGTTGTCACTTCTTTACTGTAATTAAATTAAACTAGAGAAATGACCACATCATAAAAACTAGAACCTTATTGTTTACATAGGTGATTGTAAGCAGCGTATTATGAAGTCAAGCAAGGTAACATACATTAGAAGGTAGAGAAGCATTTGTTACTAAAAATCTGCAGTTGTGGAGTTTTCAGGGTTTTTTTTTTTTTTAATATTCATTTATTATTGAGAGAGACAGAGCATGAGTGGGGGAGGGGCAGAGAGAGGGGCGCTGAGATCTAGAAGCAAACCAGGCTCTGAGCTGTCAGCACAGAGCCTTACGAGGGACTTGAACCTACAAACTGCGAGATCATGCCCTAAGGCAAAGTCAGACACTTAACTGACTGAGCCACCCAGGTGCCCCAGGAGTTTTCAGTTTTTAAGTGCTTAGTTCTAAATAGTGTTTTCACTTTTTAGTATAGAGCTCGCTTCCCAATTACAGAATTTATAGGTTCTCTTGTGGACAAATTAAATGGGTAATATACTGTGGCTTTCTTGACACAAATGGATGAATATTTTTCTTTCTGAGATACCATAAAATAGAAATTTGTTTCAAAAGTTATTTTAGATTATAATAACTGAAAAATTCCTGAAATAATTATACTAAAAACTTATTTCACCTGAAATTTAAAAAATATTATTACTTTTGCTATTTAAAGTAAGGAGTGGGCTTAATTCCTTATACCTCCAGGACCATATGGTCTTCCATTCACTTATATAAACATGTAAATTTAAAACTTTCAGTTTAATTTAATGCATAGGAAATATTCTATATGAAGAGGAGCTACTGTACTTAAGAGTTTTGTACTTTTTCTAGCTTTTTCTGAAGCAATAGTGCTTTGAATTTCAATAGAACATTTTTTGAATCTCTGTTTTCAGTATGATAAATACTAGACTCTTCTTATGAAGCTAATAATATTAAAATTTCTTTTCAGTCCATGGGAAACCTGGCCTCAGGTAGGATTTTTGATATGAAATGTGTGAAAGTATTCTTAGTATACAATGATTTAGCATATATAGTTATTTCAGTGCATGGACTCAATTATACTGAAGAACCAACATATTATATTTATTGTTCTGTCATTTTACTTATGTGAGAGTTCTTGAGTTTAATAAGTAGAGTGTTTTTCAGCAATCCAAAAATATTCCTGTTATCTGACATATTCTTGTGGAACTTTAAGTGTAGTCCTTAATACACATACCACAAAGTTGAGCACATTCTTTGATATTGAATTTTCTTCAGTTAAAAAGACTAAAACCAAAAAGATAGAAAAGTTGTTTAAGAAAAAAAGCTTTGTGAAGTATTGAGTCCACAGTAATGTCTCAGTAATAAGAAATTTCATAAATGTATGGTCTCCAAAGTATTTGGAAATACAGGAAAAAAAATACCATTCATGATTTGTTGTATCACAGATTCTATATGCTTTGAGTATATTAGTAAGGAATGATTCATACCATTATAATTCAGAGGACTTGTAAAATGAAATTATTTTTATTACATGGTTTACTTATTATTGCATGGTTCTATTTTATGAAAGTTTTTTTTTTTTAATTCTTTTTTTAACGTTTATTTATTTTTGAGACAGAGAGAGACAGAGCATGAACGGGGGAGGGGCAGAGAGAGAGGGAGAAACAGAATCTGAAACAGACTCCAGGCTCTGAGCGGTCAGCACAGAGCCCGACGCTGGGCTCGAACTCACGGACCGTGAGATCATGACCTGAGCTGAAGTCGGACGCTTAACCGTTCGAGCCACCCAGGCGCCCCTGCATGGTTCTATTTATTTCAGGTTCTATAATTTCTCAAATTTTCTTTGTTTTTGGAAGATAACTGAGCTATTCTAGTTGAAGCATGGAGAGTTGGGTACAAAATCTATCCCCTGACATTTTGTGGCTCCTATTACTATCCAGGTATCCCTAGGATACAGATCTTAAACATTTATGTAGTATAGTCTGCAAAATAGTGCCAAAATAATTCACACAGAAAGTGAATTTGGTGAAAAATCAGGGAGTGAGCTAATAAACGATTATATTATTGCTTCTATGCGTGTTGCTTTTTTTGTATTTGAATTGGTCATGGATGATGCATTATTTGTCCTTTCTATGTGAGGAAAAAAAAAGAGGCCAGATAATTTAATTGAAATTGAGTTGTTAGTAAGTCAATTTTCAATATATAGCCTTAGTGTTTTAGATGAATTATTTTATTTTTTTTATTAAAAAAATTTTTAACGTTTATTTATTATTGAGAGACAGTGCAAGCGGGGGAGATGTAGAGAGAGGGACACAGAATCCAAAGCAGGATTCTATCAATTCTGACTGTCAGCAAAGAGCTCTATGCGTGGCTCGAACGCATGAACCATGAGATCATGACTGGAGCCAACGTTGGATGCTTAACTGACTGAGCCACCCAGGCACCTCTTAGATGAATTTTAAAACAATTTTGCAAGGCTAATATAGTTTATATTCATTATTTTTACTCCAATTTTCTTGCGCTCCAATTTTCTTGCATTTTCTAGGTTACAACAGTTACATTTCAAGATTTGCCAGGTTGTAGTCTTTCCACACTGGCAGAGTGTCCAAATCTTCAATTTCTGTCTCTTCGACGCTGTGGATTAACTTCTTTGCACAGCCTGAGTAACTGCAAAAAGCTGAAGCACATTGATGCACAGGTATGTTCTCCATTCTCCTCATTATTTATCCTATAATAAAATATAAAATGGATTTATGCTTACATGTTAGAAATGATAATTTTAAATAAATGTTTTCTATAATAACCTATAACTCAGGGTCTAAGGAGATCGAGGGCCAAAATTTGTGAGAACCATTGAGGAAAGATGATTAGGAAGTATGACCTGGAATCACTTATCTCTATTTGCAGATGTTTTTGTTACTTTTTGCTGCATAACAAATGACATTACTTAGTAAATTAAAACAACAACCATTTTATTTGCTCTTGGTTCTGTGGGCTGTGAATTGAGGCCTGGATTTTCTGGGCATTTCTTCTGCTTCATGTTTTGTTGACTGAGTCTCTTATGTAATTTGAAGCTGGGGCTGGAATGTCCAAAAGGCCTTTTCTTATATATCTGATGCCTTGGGAGGTTGGAATTTCAATCTTTCTTTCTCTCCTCTCTCTCTCTCTCCCTCCCTCTCACTCTGTGTGTGTGTGTGTGTGTGTGTGTGTGTGTGTGTGTGTCTGTCTGTCTGTCTCTTCCATTTTGAGCTTCTTTACAGAATCGCCCAGTGCCACCAGAAAGACAAATCTCCAATATTCAAATGCTTATCAAGCATCTGCTGTCATCCTGCTCACCAAGTCTGAATTTGTGTGAGAGGGGACTGGGTCGATGTGTCAATACTGGGTTGGTGAAATTTATTGGGGCCTACCAAAGTTACCCATTGGCTCCTAAAGAGTCACATCCTTCCCACATGCAAAATACACTCAGGTGCCAGAAACCCCCAAATCTCATCACCTTGTGGCATCAGACTTACACTTGAAGCACAGAATTTTCTCATCTAAATCAGACCCAAGTGGAGATAACATGCTCTGATAGAGTTCTTTCAAGTCCGAGATCTGTGAGATAAAATGAGAAGTTATCTTCTCTCACTGTTCCCTCCTCCGTAACACCCTCACAGACAGTGGTGAGATAGGGCTTGATTAGTTACAATAGTCATTCCCATTCAAAATGAAAGAAAACAAGAAGCCCATAGCAGTGCCTGTTCCATAGCTGAACACATATCATTTCCTTAATGAGGACTCAGTTCTCCATAAAAATAGTTTTCTATGACTCTGGGTTCTGCCCACTGGAGCAGACTGAAGCATTATTCAGAATTCTGAAGAAGACTTGAGAAGTATTCTCAAGGCATACTTCTTTTTCCAGAAGGAGTGCTGTTTGCAACTGAGAATTTTTCTCAGCCTGTTTTTTTCCCGTAGAGGATGGGGGCAGGTGTTGTTGCTTGAGGCTTCTTTTCATTTGACTTATTCTTTTCAGTTCACACAGGCAGTGTTTCCACCAATCTGATTTTCTTTTAAAACTTTCTGGATTTCTTATGCTTCTTATTAAGTTCACTCCATTAGACAAAGGCTTTATGCTCATAAATATTTTTGAGGGGGGATGCTATGAGACTACTCCCTTAAGATTCTTAAAAGCCCATTTATCCTTCTGTGGTCTTAAAAAATAGAATTGCTGGGGCACCTGGGTGGCTCAGTGGTTAAGCGTCTGACTTCGGCTCAGGTCATGATCTCACAGTTTGTGAGTTCGAGCCCCACATCAGGCTTATTACTGTCAGCATGGAGCCCGCTTTGGATCCTCTGTTATTGTCTCTCTCTCTCTGTCCCTCCTCTTCTCCCTCTTGTGCTCTCTCTTACAAAAAAAAAAAAAAAAAAAAAA